ACAAAATTAGAATTAACTTACATTTAAATAAAAGGAAAATTATGATACACATTAGATACTGGGATGGACTATGTTTAAGCATTTCATGATATTTAAAAGAGTAACTTTCATAACACATTTTCAAGGCAGGGGAAAGAAACAAACTGCCCTATCAAACCCATCGGGCCAAGAAGAACGTCCCTGTGGGGTTTCTGAGTCTCTAAATCTTTACAGGCGTCAAGGTCTTATCTTTCTCAGAGGGAGGGGCTGTGGAGTTTGAATTTCTGACCTTGTCTATGCAACCCATTGAGAACACACGTGGAATTACAATATTTAGGGAAATAAAGAGCTATGTACATAATAATTTTAATTCTATTTCGTATACCTCGTACACCAAGACTAAATTTACACTCTGTATTATTCAATAAAAAAATGGATTCTTAGATTCACATTATATGTGGTTTTTATATCTTCTTTCACCTTTATATATTTCTAAAATTATTGATCATGCTTAAAAATGCATTGACATAGTAAAAAATTAAAAATTTGAACTATAATTCTATTTAATTCACACTCAAAAACATGACACAATGCTTTTGACTTTTGTTATTTCTTTTCATAAGGAAAATATGAAACCATGTTATATTTTTAATTTTTCTTGAAGTAAATGTAATAAAATATACAACCAATATTAATCTATTTAACAACATGTAGAATTCATTAATCTCATAGTATATTTACTGTGCTATGCTACCCTAACTTTTAACTGTTTCTGAGATATTGCACTACGATGAACAGAAACTCAATGCTGAGTAAGCAGTGACTTCCCCTTTCTCCTTATCTGCAACCCCTGTCAGCTTTTATTTCTCTATATTTACCTTTTCCAAATATTTTATATAGCAGAAATCATACATTTTTATTTGGCTGACATGTCTTTCAGGATAATCATGTTCAAAGCAAAAGTATAAATGAAAGTTTTGAAAAATTCTGCCCAAATACCTTTTTAATATAGAATGGCTTTTTGAGCCAGGAGTTATGTGCATGAAATGAAGCTGTTGGCAGAAGCCGAATGAATGTCATACGTACATACTAACTTCTGATGAAAATTTAAATGGGGAAGCTGAGTTCCACTGAGGTATCTGATACCCAGTCCTGCTAATGTAGTTGCTAGATATTTTTCTGATCATTGAACCAGCCTGCCTTGGGCTGGCCATCTTCTTTCTCTGAAAGAAATTGTGTTTCCTC